AATTCAGTAACTCTTTTATTCACTTTGTTTTGACAATATAGCCGCTGATAGGCTTAAATTCACTTTTATTAAATGCTTTTTTTGTACATTAATTTAGTTACTTATATATTTAAAAGTAGGCACTCACATTCTTTCACATTTTCAACTTTCAGCCGGTTATGCGGTTAATAGTAATTTTCTATTAACGAATCTACAAGAATCCAATACGGATAAAATTTTATGCTGATATAATCACACAATGTAATACAGTAATATTTACTGATGACCACATTTCGAGCACAAATTATTACTGCTCATGATCATATCAAGGCCCTACGAACACAACTTTCTTGTTTCATTTAAATACATGTGTAAAAATTCATCAAACATTTGGATAAAATCGATACAAGATAGAGTGCATTCGGAAATAATAATATTAATGTTATCAATAAAGTACAACGCGATGGGAAATAAGATGCTTTTATACTAAAAACAAGTAACTTGTTAGAATGGTATAATGTGAATTGAATACATCTTAACATTATTTATTATCCTCTGATTTGAATGGTTGTAATATCTTGTGAACCCGAACTTAGTCATAGGACAAAGCTGCCCAGTGAGGAAATTATTTAAGGAAGTCAGTTATGCCTAACATCTACTGTCTTTGAATTCCAGGGCAAAATATACAGACCAACAGATGATGTAGCAATGGGATCACGAATATCTCCTATCATAGGAGAAATCTTTATGGACAGCTGAGAAAATATTGCTCTAAGTACATTCAATCCTACTTCAGAAATATTGTGGAGGTATGTGGATGACACTTTCACAGTGTTAAAAACAGAACATATAATAATATATTCTCAATTTTGTAAATATCTCTCTAGCTTCTTCACACACATAAATGAACAAGGAGAATTAGGTGTTAGATTGTAAAATAAAACGAACAGAAGGTAAACTGCACTGTACACTAGCGTTTAGAAAAAGCCAACACATTCTAATAGATATTTAGACTTTAATTCATCATCCCATCCGTTGTCTGTCTGTGAACGCAGGCTTATTTAAGTGTCTAACATACCGGGCAATAGCACTAAGTAGTACTGTGGTGAGAGCTGGCTGCTAGCCAAAGTTAGTAAACAGTAATTGACGTCAATGTTTATGTCCCCAATATTGGTGGTGAGAAAATGAGAACAAAGGCTTTGCGTAGGCGGATACAGTTAGCTTATGGATGATCTGACACAGCTACAAAGAGATGCAAGGTTAACTTTCTGTGGGAAACAACCAATCAAAAGACTGTATTTTCTACTAACAATAATCTACAATAATGTACAGCAGACCTGATGACGCCACTACTGGAGAAGGTGTGGAAAGAAGGCAAAGTACCCGAGGATTGGAAGAAAGGATACCTATTCAAACTACCAAAGAAAGGAGACTTAAGTCAATGCAAGAACTGGCGCGGAATTATGCTCCTTTCCATCCCAAGCAAAATACTAAGCCGCATCATCCTGGAAAGGATCAAACAAGCCTTGGATGAAAAACTTCGACCGGAACAAGCTGGATTCAGGAGAAACAAGTCATGTATTGATCAAATCGCCACACTACGGATCATCATTGAACAAAGTTTGGAATGGCAGTCACCTCTCTATCTCAACTTCATCGACTTTGAAAAGGCCTTCGACAGCGTCGATCGAGAGGTGATTTGGCAACTACTTCGCTACTACGGGGTGCCGCCGACAATTATACATCTCATCCAACAGTTGTATGACAACGCTGCATGCCAAGTAATCCACAACGGGAAGCTCACGGAATCCTTCGAAGTGAAGACAGGAGTAAGACAGGGTTGCCTACTATCGCCAATGATTTTCCTGATTGCAGTAGACTGGATAATGCGACAAACAGCGGACAATGAGGAAACAGGCATAAAATGGACTCACACAAAACACTTGGAGGATCTGGACTTCGCCGATGATATATGCCTGATTTCCCACAAACTGGAAGATATGCAAGTGAAAAGTAACAAGTTGGCAGAAGAAGCATCAAAGATAGGACTCCAGGTGAACATAGAAAAAACAGAGGTGATGAAGATCCCTGGCCAACACCAACAACAACAACAGACAGCAATCAGCATAAATGGAAAAAACCTGAAAGAAACTACCTCCTTTACCTACTTGGGAAGCATTGTTTCAACTACAGGCGGAACTGACGAGGATATCAAAGCAAGGATCGGGAAAGCAAGGCAAGCTTTCATTACTCTGAAGTCTGTGTGGAGGACAACATCATTCAGCGTCAAAAATAAGATCGGGATTTTCAACTCCAATGTGAAGTCAGTACTACTATACGGATCAGAGACTTGGCGTGTCACAAAGAGCACCTCAAACAAGCTACAGACCTTCATTAACAGATGTCTTCGCTCAATACTCAAGATCAGATGGCCGGAAAGGATCAGCAACAAAGATCTCTGGGAGCGAACCAACCAGGAACCCATTGTGAAACAAATAGGCAGGAAGAAATGGAGATGGATTGGCCACACTCTGAGGAAACCAGCAAGTGACATCACTAGACAAGCCCTCGAGTGGAACCCGAAAGGGAAGCGGCGAGTTGGTCGTCCAAGGGTGACCTGGAGGAGATCATGTGAAGAGGAGATGAAAGCATGTGGGCAGACCTGGAGCCAGGTGAAAACTCTAGCAGAGAATCGAACGCAATGGAGACGCATGGCTGAAGCCCTATGTTCCTCTAGGAACTAAAGGAAATAATAATAATAATAATAAATATGTGTTGATCTTCTTTAATAAACGATCTGTTGCCTGGCCCTTGTCTTCTGTTGTTACAGTACAACAAAAACCTAAACAATGAAATGAAACATAGAAGAGGCATTGGTGTTGAATAACTAACTATCCTATAAAATTCATTAGGAATATCAAAAAGGTCAAAATAAAAATAATGGTGAAATTAATAATGATAATATAAATAAGAGAGAATTTAAGGTACCTACAGTTTTACCGTATAACGAGGAGACATCTGAAACCTTCTTTACGTAGGATTCTCAATAAAACAGGAATTAGGGTAGCGTTCAAATCCACAAACTCACTCAGAGACAATAAATGGTATTAAAATGTATTCACTTCACATTATAGCATTCTAACAAGCTACTTATTTTAACTATAAAAACATCTTATTTCCCATCTTATTGTATTTTGTTGATAACACTAATATTATTTCTGAATGTACTTCATCTTACATTAATCTTATCCAAATGTTTAATCAATTTTTACTCATGTACATAAATGAAACCAGAAAGTTGTGTGAGTTGTGCCTTGATATGATTATGAGTAGCAATAATTTTTGCTTGTTTGGTTGTTCTACTTATGTAATTATCTCCACAAGGGTAGTTATTTGTATTTTGGTTAAGAGCTTTGATCCCGTGCTTCAAAAACAAAGGTATCTGAAAGAACTGTATATCCCGAAGTGTATTTTCCTTCCTTGGGCTCCTGAAATCAGTGTTATTAAGATGTTCCACTGCAAAAAACTGTAGTCTAAACTTCTACAATGTCCTAACATACATTACAAGGTGTGTTGTAAAAATAATTTATTTTTAAATCTCAATTTATGTCAGTAAGAGTTGAGAATTTAAAATTATTTTGTTGGGAGTGAATTGCCCCCGCCTAAGGTATATTTATTACTAAACATTTAATTTGTCTTCATCAGAGTTGTTAATGAACAAGAGAGCTCTAACGTAAGTAATACGTTGCACTGTTTAGCTGCTAAGTTGTTCAACAAACTAATTTTTAAAAAATAAAAGAAAATTGAGAAAAGAATACGCTTTTCGATAATTTTCTCTCCTGGCTCTACAATTTTATATATGTGTTTATATACATAGAATATTCTAGAATACTCGTTAATAACAATATTAGTGTTTTTTAAATAATATAATATATAATATAATAATAATAGAATATCAAATGAAATTAAGGAAATTTCCACAACAAATTGAGGATCATTAAAACCTTGATGGTCAGCTGGGTAAGGACAGCTTCATTTGAATACATAATTTAGGTTTCTTAATGTAGATCCCAACGGCCAGTCTCAGCAATATGTAGTAAACGAACTCTTAAGGTGAAGTTAAGATTAGTTGATATGCGTTAGATGGCTTTGAAAGCCTCCTTGTTAACATCAATCTTGTGTTCTGTAACCATGAGACGAGATAGAATAGTGCTATGAATGGATATTGTTTGTCGTTTACTTAAGCACGCAGGATGATTTTTGGAAATCCGACGAGAAACACGCCTAATTGTACGGCTTATGTAACTCGCTCCACAGGAGCAGTCAAATTGGTAGATACACACACATAGAAGAGGGGAAATTAGTCAGTTTATCTTTTCCTCTTTAACGAAAAATAGGGGTGGTTTTGAAGACACAGCGTAATTCAACAGCAGGGAATGCTCTTTTCACCGCATTTTCCAGGCACTGATGTTATCCCTGAGTAACTGAAGTTGTAAGAATATGGCCTTTTCGCAACTGTTGTTACCCTGGGCTGCCTTGATTTCTGATCCACATTTTTATCGATGAGTTTTTCTGGATAATCGATCTCACTCAGAAACTAACTGTTTAATAATATTTAGTACTTCATTAAGACATTCATCAGAGCAAGTTGCCCTCTTGCTCTATGGACCAAGCACTTTATCAGATTGCGTTTGTATTTCAAATATACGAAGCTGAAAAAATGAGTATAATGACCAGTTGATATTAGCAAACAGCTGGCTCACCACCTTGTTTGAAGTTTAATTCAAGCCTCGCAGATATTCATCACAGTTAAACACTGTACAACAGAAGATTTTATGGCCAATTATGAGGAAAGTCATAAATTTTTGTGATAATATCAAGATCTAAGCTTACTTTTCACTATCCCACAAATCACTTTTAAGCAAAGTGAAAACTATGCACGTATTCACTGCGAACCTTTAATTTAGTAATTAAAAGTTTTTACAAACTTACTGTCCATCGGAAAATATGCTTTTTTATAGGATTTCGAGGCCTACAAAATCTATACCAAAGAACTATTAGACAATGAGAGACGATTGAACAAGGAACTACGACAATCATTCAACTGAAATTAGAAAATATACTCAACAAGAATGGATGTTTAAAGAAGACTTCGCAAAAAGAATTACATTCTTTTTTTTCAGTTCAACATATCAAGATATACTTGTAAATCAATAAATCGAATATAAATATTGATTTCATCTCGTTTGTTTAACTAATCACAATATGCGAAAAGTTACAAAATGATACTTCTTGTAGAAATTGACTGACATAAAAGAGTGGAATCAATATTGATTACAAAAACTGTTACATTCGCTGCAAAAATATGTATATTAGACATTCTTATCTAAATAAAGGTGATAGGTTGTTTACGTATACCGAAAAAGATATGCGTGGCTGCGCGGGTTAGGATATTTGTTTGACAGTATCAATTTTTGTGAAAACAGTGTCTTAGTTACAATGAAGTAGGTACTACGTGATCATTAGTTCTCCATGGATCTTTAACCGATTCATGTTTGCAATGAAGTCATTTTTTCCCTAAGGATATTTCAGTGTGGTAGAATAACCTGCTGTAGCCATCCACTGGTGCACCTACCTTAATGTCAGGCAAATGTTACCTCGATTGTCTAATTCCATGTGTATTTATATGTTCACCTGCTTTTGCAGAGCTAGGTACATAGGATGTTCGTCGAGAAACATATCCCGCCCCGTTCGAGAGCACCTCCCAGTTTGGCTAAGCAAAGGAGAAGGTAGAAGTATTAATTCAATTGTACTGCAACATATTGTAGATAGTGACCATGCAGCATCTGACACATCGTTTAATATAGTCTAAAGACCGAGTGCATTTGCATTGTATAGCCGAGGCTTTGGCAATACATAACATAAAGTCGGAACTTTGTGTACAACAACAATTTGTACGATCTCTTTCGTTACTATATGGTCTTGATTTTACTATATAATTAGCATAAAACCTTTTTCTTATCCTTCTTTATTCCGTGTTCCATTTTTGTTTTATTTCATTTTACTTTATGTTATCATATTCTAACATTTAATGTAGTCTACTATGTTGGAAACATTTCACTCATCCTATGTTTCTATCATATTATATTCACATTTCCGAAAGTACTTTAATTTCTAATCATATATTTCACGCAGGTTTGTTGAATTTTAGGTTGACCCCTGTTTATTTAATACATTATAATTATTTTTACGAGTTTGACCATGGATTGATATCAGTTAGAGTACCATTGAAAACCAACACTGGAGAACTGGACAGCTGTTTCATCCTATTTTGGGAATCATCACAGTATGCACCCACCACCAGGGTTCGAACACAGGACCTTCTGAAGAGTGTGATGTATTTGCGCAATACATTTCGAACAGCCTGATCGAACATTTATTTCTTAAAGTAATTCATATAAAAAATAACATTGTGATCAAGTACGAGTGAGTCTCCGTTAGAGAATCACTGAAAACTAGGCAGTCTTTATGTCTTATTTCGGGACATGCAGGCAGTACGTATCCAGCGGGCCTCAAATTTAGGGCTTTCTGGTTACAAGATAAGCTCGTCGACCGCTTAACTAGTGGGAACCGAATCAGTAATCCATGAATTTTAACTTCTACCAATTCGAGCTTGCCTTGTAGACAAAGGGTCTTGGATACCAAACTTGTTGGGTACGTACTGCCGATAAGTGCCGAATTATGAAAAACAGCTGTCCCGTATCCCTTGTTTTCAACGGTTCTCTAACTGATATCTGTCTATGTTGAAAATAAGAACAAATCAAATCCCTACAAACTAACTCATGGAAAATTAAAGTTTAATTAATAAAATAAGCAAAATGATAAGGAATGGTTACGGGACAAATAATGTTCTTTTCGATAACCTGCTCTTCATTAGGTTCTACATTTATGTATGCATGATAGTGAATGAATCGGCGCTATTAATAACATTATTATGATTATTATTGTTCCCTTGGGTTCCTAGTGGAACACAAGGCTTCATCTACACGTCTCCACTTGCTTCTGTCTTCTGCTGTACTTTTCATTTGCATCCATGTCAGTCCATACTGTTTCAACTCCTCTCCACACGATCTCCTCCATGTCACCATTGGACGTCCCACTCGCCGCTTCCCTTTCGGGTTCAACTCGAGCTATGGCCTAACTCGTGATGTCACCCAGCAGCCTCCTCAGCGATTGTCCAATCCATCTCCACTTTCTCCTGCATGTTTGTTGAGCGATTGGTTCTTGTTTTGTTTTTTCCCATAGTTTCTTGTTGGTGATTCTTTCTGGCCATCTGATCTTGAGTATAGAACGCGAAGACAGTTGTTGATAAAGGTCTGCAACAGGTTGTTGGAAATATTCTTTATGACCCGCCAAGTTTCTGATCCGACTAGATTACTAGCTCGCTAGTTTTCTAGCCGGTTCTAGCCCGAATAAAGAGGGAGGGTTGGGGCGTGGTGCTAGCAACTCCACCCTCATAACTTAACCAAATTGCTGCAGAAACTTCAACGCATAAATATATTAAAAATACTAAAAATATTAATAACATTAATGTTATTTAAATAACGTCGAATCAATAATGGATTACAGTTCAATAGCATCAACATAATTATAAACTGAATATCATAAAAATTAGGAGAGATATTAGGCGTTACTCTAGGAACTTGATTTTTCATGCTCAGGAACATCTACCAGTATGGTTAAGTAAAGGTGTAGTAAAAACCATCAGCAGTTCGATATCAAACCACTAGGTCCACACCGACCACAAAGCCAGAATGGAAGAACCCTTCTCTATTATCTACCGCATACCAAATAAATTACCAAAAACCATCAGGTACCGCATACTCCAAACAGCGGAGTCTATCGCAATTCTCCTTAAACGACCAGTGCTTTGTGTGCAAAAGAAGCCACTCCAGTCAGCCACTACTACTGCCATGGCCGGCCTTCAGTGGAGACTATAAATTCATGAATTCTGTCGTATTATTTTTCCTAATTTCTCTGATATTCAATGTATTGTTATGTTGATGCTATCGAACTGCAATCCAATGATATTATTTTTATTGATTCGATGTTATATAAACAACATTAATGTTGTTAATAACACTAATTCATTCACTATTATGGGTGGATATATAAGTGTAGAACCTGATGAAGAGCAGGTTATCGAAAAGAATATTCTTTGTTCAATAATCATTATTTTGGGAAATTTTAATCAGTCAATATGATAAGGCATTTAGGAATAAGAAGGATAATAATTAGCACTATTTTCGGTAATATAATCAGATAGGGAATACCAAAGTAGGTTAAGAGTAATAGTAGTTTGTTTTAATACATACATAAGAAGGTGGGCCTTATTTTTACAGGCAGCTGTCATCTCAGAATAATTCAGTGAGATCCTCTAAATGTTTTCATTTAAAATCTTGAAGGCTTACTGAAATATGCTGAGGCGATAGGTACAAGTAAAATTAGGCCCAAAAACTCAAGTTTCGAAGTCGTGTGATTACAATTGATATGATTTTGAACAATAAATTTTGTTCGAAATCTTATCATCCAGTAAATAATACTGTTTCACTGTGTGATACACCAAATAAACAAACTAATATGGAATTACTTACTACCACAAAGCCCAAGTTTTACATATATTATATTGAAAACAGAACATATCTCTCTCTAGCTTCTTCACACATACACATATAAACTCACTAGTAAAGGGAATAAAATTCACATTTGAATCAGAAAATGAACACGGAGAATTAGCTATGTTAGATTGTACAATAGAACGAACAGAAGAAGGTAAACTGCACTGCACACTAGCGTTTATAAAAAGTCAACGCATTCTGCTAATAGATATTTAGAATTTAATTCATCACCCCATCCGTTGTCTGTCTGTGAAGGCAGGCTTAGTTAAATATCTAACAAACCGAGCAATAGCACTCAGTAGTACACCAATAAGCCTAAACGATGAAATGAAACAGACAGAAGAGGCGTTGGTGTTAAATAACTAACGAATATATAACAACTTAATCATCGTTCCTCAGCATGGGGTCATTTTTGCATTGTCAAATAGAACCCTATCACAAAGATGTCCACTGGACACCAGTGAAATAATTAAGAGCTTAAAATTCTGTCTACAAAGTGATTATTTTACATTTAAATGGAATTTATATAGACAAACAAATGGTGTTGTTATGGGTTCACCATTCTCCCCAATAGTCGCTGATCTTTTCAAGAAGAAGATTGGTTTCAGGTTGATGAATGTGTTTCTTGCCTTTCCGATTCTCGATTTGACATCCCCGTCCGTTCCTCCTGTAGTTGAGATAATGCTCCCTAGATAAGTGAATGAAGTAACCTCTTTCAAATCCCTCCCGTTGATGGTGATTGGCGCTGTTGTTGTTGTTGGTTGGTTATTTTCATAACCTCCGTCTTGTCTATGTTCACCTGGAGTCCTGTCTTTGCCGCTTCTTCGACCAGTTTGTCGGTTTTCGCTTGTAAGTCTTCGATTTTGTGTGACATCAAACATAAATCATCCACGCGCGAAATCCAGGTCTTCTAGGTTCTTCACGTCGGTTCAGGATATCCCTGTCTTCTCGTTTCCCACTATCTGATGCATAATCCAGTCCACCACAATTAGGAATATCATTGGTGATAATAAGCACCCTTGTGTGACTCCTGTGTTTACTCCAAACGCCTCGCTGAGTTTTCCGTTGTGGATCACTTGACATGTGCCGTTGTCGTACAGCTGTAGTACTCGAGTAGTTTCCAAATTACTTCGCGGTCAGCGCTATTGAAGACCTTCTCAAAGTCTATGAAGGAAGTTGAGGTAGAGGTTTGATTGCCATTCCATGCTTTGTTCGATGATGATGCGTAGAGTTGCAATTTGGTCAGAACATGATTTGCCTTTCCTGAATCCAGCTTGTTCTCGTCGGAGTTCTGTATCCAGTGCGTCCTTGATTCTCTCCAGGATGATGCGACTCAGGATTTTACTCAGCGTCGACAGGAGCATGATTCCTCGCCAGTTCTTGCAGAGTCCTTAGTTGCCCTTCTTTGGTAGTTTCACCAGGTAACCTTTCCTCCAGTCAGTAGGCACCTTTCCCTCCTTCCAGACCTTTTGCGATAATGGAGTCAGCATATCTTCTGTCGTCTCTGGGTCCGCTTTCAGTGCTTCCGGGGGTATTCCATCTGGT